TGCTCTCTCTCTGGTCTGTCTCTGGTCTCTCCCTCTGCTCCCTCTCTGCTCTCTCTGGTTTCCTTCTCTCTGTTCTCTCTTGTCAGTGAGAACTCTTCCGCAGACACACATCCACGCACCTTTAAAGAACCTTAATATCGAATGCTACCTTCCCATAAAGAAACCATACCATAAGACGATCATCCTACACGGTGAAAGCAGGAGGCGAAACGAGACGAAACACCCAACAAAGGACAGTTCATTTGTGATTTCCTCTGCTCATTTGAAGGCAAATTAAGTGTCAAACAGCTAATACGGAGCATATTTCATTTTATGAGCTTTTAATTTCATTCCTCCGCCTCATAACGCCTCGGCCTAGCTGTTAGCTGCGCCGCTACCTCCATCTCCAAATCACAAGTCATAAATAAACATGTTTCAATTAGGACCCTTCTCTGTAATAGGATAAGATTGCGTTCATTTGCGTGGTGTATGAAGGCTGGATGTGCTGTGTTTTGCCGGTTTGCTTAGCGTCTGCGGAGCTCGGTAGTGTGCGTACGAGAAACTGGGGGAAGCTGAGTGGATTGATGGAGCCGCCGCGGGGCCGACCCAACTGTAATTACAGGCAGTAATGAGAAGCTGCATGGGAAAGTACCGCAATAATAGTCGCTGTATACTTAGCCATATCTCCGCGAGGGCTAATAACGATTAATTCTGCGAGCCGAGAGGAGAAATTGTCCTAAAACAATTCAATATTTCTCCATAAGCAGCCTCCTGTCCTCCACTTCCCCCTGGGCAGTATGGTTTAGCGTAGCTGTTAGCGGAGAGGCATTAGCAGGAAAGCCTTGGAAATCTATATTGGGGTTGTTGTTTTTGGCGGGTTGAGCGCTTGTGAAAAAGTTTGGCATGAAGTTGCGCTGAGCTGGGAGTGCAATTAACCGCAATTTGCCGACAGGTGGTTGAACTTGCCGTGATGAACGAAGCCCAGAGGAATTTAATGGGGTTTTTTTTTAAAGCCGTGACTCATAAGACGTTTGGAAGTGAGCTAGACACAGGGAAAATCTAAAGGGAACTTCTTTAAGTCTATTCAAAGTTATAATATTTTCCTATAGTATTTACAAAAATATGTATACAATTGTCAGGATTTAATTATAAAATGTGTATCATTCAATCTTAAACTACTAATGTTGAAATAGATATTCTTTCATTTATTAACATTTTAGATTCTGGAAATGTGGAACCAATAAAAGGTGGAGCCCTGAGAAAAAGTATGGATAAAAAAAATTACATATTGAGGATAAAGAGCACAGGGATTGGCCTCTTTCTAACTCTGGGACCAGCAGTAGGCCAGTCCCTGTGCTCCTCAGAGTCCCAGCAGGAGGCCAGTCCCTGTGCTCCTCAGAGTCCCAGCAGGAGGCCAGTCCCTGTGCTCCTCAGAGTCCCAGCAGGAGGCAAGTCCCTGTGCTCCTCAGAGTCCCAGCAGGAGGCCAGTCCCTGTGCTCCTCAGAGTCCCAGGAGGCCAGTCCCTGTGCTCCTCAGAATCCCAGCAGGAGGCCAGTCCCTGTGCTCCTCAGATTCCGGGTAGTTTCACATGTACTTAGCAGACAAAAGCAAAATGCGTCTTCTTTAGAGCATTGCCTTTAAAAACTTGGTGAGTGTTGTGGTCCGGGGCCGATGGCACAGAACACCAACCTCACTTCCTTCCGTCCAGGGCATCTGTGGCTTCCCAACGATCATAATTACTACCACAACATTTAATCAATGCAAGCGAAGCCGTTTCAAAGCCATGTGAATGTCGTACCACGCGGCAGAACACGATACATCACAAGAAAAACCAGTTTGAATTTGAAATCAAGTCACTTTTCCTAACTCCTGCTCCTGGATCCTTGTTCTACATGAATCCCGCCTTAACCACTCGCGGCTCCTAAACAGCTGTCTTGTAATAATGACAAATAGTCTCTGTGGACGAGGGCCGTTGCATTAAACAGCTCTATGCTTAATGGCTTGGATAAATGGCCCATAAGTAGCACACGGCGGCGCAGGATCCGTGTCCGCCGCTGACAGTCGAGCCGAGCGGAAGATAACTGGTGTCCGTGCGGAGAATGACTGCCCCCCCCCCATACCCGCCCCCCCAATGCAAACCTGTGCCCGGCATCACGCCAAAGCACTTCTGACGGATAACAAGCCGCGCTGTTTGTTCGCCGCTGTGTCGTTGCCGCATGTTCCCCCCATTATCTCTGCATAAGCTAAATGCTAAATTATATTTGCCATTTTGTTTGCGGTGACACCCGACATCAATCACCCCCCGGTTTTTTCTTTCTTTTTATTTCCTCCCCCTTTATGCTTTAGCGCAGGGGTTGAGAGGTGGGGTATAGTGGGGACATAAAAAATTCATTACACTTAGTGGCACAACAGCAAGGGAGAGATATGAGGAGAGGGGAGGAGGAGGAGGAGGAGGAGGAGGAGGAGGAGGAGGAGGGGGGAGGCTGTTGATAATGATGAAGAATATCAAACATAATACAGC